ACGCAAGCTCTGCCGAACACTTCTCCTCCACGTCTCGTCCCCTATTGCCATTGGCGTGGTCGTCGGCTCCCCCACCTCTGCGACATGATTAGAAAATGCGCCTCAACGCAGGTGTTGTTCAGAAGGCGTGGGGACGAGGTGGAAGGGGGGGAAGGGAGGAATGAACAGGCTAGATGAAGGGAGCGGGCCTGCTGGCAGTGGCCTGGCACAGGTCGGCAAGGCACGCGGGCGGGGCTACCAGGTTTGTCCCCGAACCAATTCAGCACCTCGGAATCTTCAAACACACTCACGAAATAAACTACTACTTCATGTTTCACCTGGCTACCCTTCGATTTCACTTTTTCGCACAGCGAACACATCGAAATCTACAACCATAAACCTCGGGACTGTGCAGACGGTCGCTGGTGAGCCAGCCCCCGGCCACAGTTTTCAAAACCGCGGTTTGCCAGGAAGGCGGGCCGCCAGCCATGACCAGGCTCCGAAGGGGAGCCCAGTTCGCAACAGAAAAACCAACGCCCCATGAGGCCAGGCGCTTCAAAACCGCGTCCTGCAAAACATCAGGGAGGAGAGACGAACGCAGAGACGATGAGAGAAGCCTCTGCGCGCGCGCCCGCCCAGGCCCCGACTGTGCACCCAGGGCGGCGAGAACGCAGGCGGCAGCCTCACTGAACGCCTTGGTCCCGAACTGGCCGAGCGAGGCCGCCTCCGCGTGCTGCACACCAGCGGCGGCGCCAGCCAGAAGGAAGGTGTGAGGCGCCCGCTCCCAATCTCCGCCAGCGTGCCGCGCTCCGCGATGGCCTTCCTGAGCTTGGCGATCAGCGGCCGCCAGTTCGTGGGCGTTGCCCCCATGCGCGTCGCCATGCTGAGCACCGTCACGCTGGCAGGGCGCAGCGCCAACCACGAGGGGAGGCCCAGGATGCCATTCTTCGTGAACGACTGGGGCGGGAGGTGCCAGATCTTTTGCCAGACCCAAGACTCGCGGCGCGCGAACGACAGCGGAACGGGCGCCAGCTGCATGACGCAGCCCAAGACCGAGAGAATACGCGAGTTGTAGATCACCGTCGAGAGGTGGACTGGAGCTGCAGCCCGAGCAAGTTCAGGAACGCGGCGGGTCCACTTGGCACCAGGCGTTTGCCACATGATGTCTGGCATGGTCTCAAGCCCGAGGATGACGCCAAGGTGCTCGGCGTAGGGCACGATGTCCATGGAGCTCCATGCTGGTAGGGTGACCTCGAGCCAGCCATGAGTGGAGTCGGCGAGCGTGATGCTGAAGGCGTCGCTGAGCGGAACGGCCTTGCACTAGCGGATCGTCAAGCGGTTTCCCGAAAGGATCTCGGCGGCGCGGAACGCGCGCCAAAGCCGCAGCAAAATGCGGCGGTCCTGCACAATGACGCCGACGTCGTCCGCGCAGGCGAGGAAGGCCGAGGTGGAGAAGGAGTTGATGATGGACTCCATGTGCGCAACGATCGGGTTCATGGCGACGGCCCAGAGCGAAACCCTGAGGGGGCAACCCTGGGCAATGTCAGCCGTGACGTGCATGAAGTGCGTGCGGGCGCCCTCGTTGGGGACGAACGCAGTCGGCATCCAGTGCATGCCCATGATGAGCTGGTCGATCCCGCCAGCGAAGCCCGACCGCAGCCTCGATCATCCTCATGCGTCCGTTATTGCCCTTCCCCCTCCTGTGCCGCGTGGCTCCTGTCTGTCCCGTGCTCGCGTCCGCGTGGGCTGCCTGACGCTTCGGATCCCCCAGGCCGATAAACTTGCCTAAGAGAAGGCGAAAGCGATCCCCGGTCTCCCGCGCTCCTGCCTCGTCGCAACCAGCCGCCACCTATAATCGAAACTGATAGTAGGGATGCACGATAAATGTGCAAAAGGCCTTGAAGGCCGTGCCGTCACTTTTCGAGAAGAGCGCGGCCGGCGAAAACGGTCAAGGATGGGCCGAACGGGAAGGATGCAAGGCTAACCTAAGAAAATCACTCATCCTTACTGAGTTACTGTCAGCGTCGACTGTGTAGGGCGGCAATGATGATCTGGCCGCAGACTCCTCGCATGCTGTGCCCAATCCCGCGGGATGCTTCACTCGAGCGCAGTCAGGCAGCATCCTGGCCCCTCAGGAAGGAGGAGAAGAGGATGAAGAAGGGGAGGGGAAAAGGGGAGGGGGGGAGGGCAGGGCTTCCCATTGATCACACAAATTTGGTGATCTTTCATTTTTCTTCGACCTTGCGAAGTGGGGGAGGCAGAGGGGAAGGGTCGGACAGCCCTGGGGCGAAGAAACTCGCTCCAGCGCCTTCCGAAACGCTCTCTGGACGCGCGAAGCGCGCTTGGGGCGAAAGGGGCGCCGCCTCAGGGTGGCAGGGACGAAGGCCTGGCGCACGGGGGGGGGCATCCGCGGATGGCCGAGAGCTCCTCGCTCTCCCCTCGCAGTCTCTGCTCCCGAGGTCACCATTGCAGAGATCGCCACTGGTGGAGGCGACCGCCGAGATTGGCGCTGGTGCAAACTCCTACAGTCGGGACTGATTGGAGAGGACACGCGAGAGGACACAAGACCCTTCCGCGGGCCACATCGCCATAGGAATGTAAGAAGACGTTGGTCACGAAGCTCAGGACACAAGGGTACCCTTGATTTGGCAGGGTCGACCTACTAATCAGCCTCGACTGTATGCCCACGGCTCTCTTCGCTCCCCCCCTCGCTGTCCCCAACGGACGACGACGTGATGTTCTGGCAGCGTGGACCCCTGGAGGCCTCGACCTCGTTCTGTGACGGCCCCTGGGGCCCCAAGCCACACGCCACCAACAACCGCCCGCCGCGCTCTGCCCATGGCGAAAGCCGGCCATGGCGTCTGGGCCTGGGGTTGGGGGCTGGAAATCGGCCCCCGGCCGCCTCCCAGGCTGCGTTCTCGCAACTCGGAGGGGAGTCCGGCCGTGGCGACAAGGAGCCTCCTGGGGGACCAGGTGCACTCGTGGCTCCCATGAGGACGGGTGAAACAAGAGGGGGCATTTTCTGGCCACGGTAAGCCTCGGCAACGAATAGTCTCCCCGACCTAAATCTGAGGAGCGCCCCGAAATCCAGAGCCCGTCTTGGGCCCAATGTCGTCACTGATTGAGCGAGTTGACAATCGACCCCGAAATAGCATCATTCGTCGTCTGCCCTCCGCGGCGAGCCTTCTTGACGTTGACCTCGGTCTCCTCCAGGGGAACCCCCTGGGCGTCCTGCGATTTCCGTGCAAATCGCGGCCGCTCCGACAAGGGGGGGATGGGACAGAGGAAGAGGATCAGCACGCAGGCTGGACGAACATATCGGATCGTCGGAAACATCGGAACATGCAAGCAGCAGGAGGAGCATGCCAGCATGGGGCCGCACAAGGTCCTCAAAACATCGGAACCGAACCGGATCAGGCCTGCCGAAACCGACATCGAATCGGATCCCACACTGCCCCGTCCGACCATCACGCCGCCGACGCCGCCGTCGTCGTGGCATCGTCGTCGTCGCCTCGTCGTACGCGTCGCCCTCGTCGTCGTATCGTCGCCGGCGTCTTCATCTGTTCGCCCCCATCTGCGCGCCAAGGCCGCCCGACGATTTGGTCGAGACTGGCCCCCTCCCCGTGCCGCGGCCGCCGCTGCCGCCGCTGCCGCCGCTGCCGCCGCCGCCCCTCCACGCGCCTTGGCGCGCTGCAGCAGCAGCTTCGCCTCCTCCCCGAGCGCTGGGGCGCCCGGCGAGGCCGGGTTGAAGGCGATGGTTTTCGCCACGAAATCCAGCAGGGACGCGCTGCGGTCCTGCCCGTGCGCCCGTGCCTCCTTCTTTCCCCAAGAGGAGCACCATCCCTCTGTTTTTTTCGCGCAATAACTTCTAGGGGGAGCGGGAAGGGAACGCGCGACCCACCGCATTACTTCATTATCCAGCTGCCGAGCGCACGCAACCTCCCCCAGCCATTTGGGCCCGATACCCAAAAAGACCGGCACTCGGGCCAGCCACATGCATGCGCCGCAAAGGCGGGGCAGGAACGGTAACAAATGCAATAACACAAACCGTTAAGAGGTCGGCAAAGATTTGTTGCATCGGAATGCCCTCCCTCGCAATTCCATAGGCGACGCGAGCGGTCTTTCCCGAATTGGAAACTGTAGCGGTGCGGATGCCTTGAATCGTCATTCGGCCCTCGTGGCGGCACCTCCAACGCCGCTCTTGGCGGGCTCCCAGGGCTGCCCCAAGACGAGTCAAAAACGAGAGTACGATCGCGTATCACGTATCATGGTGAGAAGAACGCGTCGGATGGCAATGGTGGCGGTGAGATCATGAAGGTGTTTCCTTACTACCCACCACTGCAAACTGTCGGACAGGCAACATCTACCGCGAGTGCAGATCATCGATAATAGGCCCTGGAATCGATGAGGTTTGTCCCCGAGGTGTGTTGTCGCTCGTCCTCGAGGATTTTACAGATGGTGCTTGGTAGGTACATGATGTACGTGAATCCGTTTGTGCGTCTCCACTGCAGTGTGGTGTCATAGTTGATGATGGTGGGCGGCGCCCTCATGGCTAGTGTCCTGGTCCATCCTCCCAGACCGCGCGGTAAGGCTGCAGCCTGTTGAGGTGGAGTCACGCTTCCGTTTGCGACGTTAGGCCACCTGTGTACTTCGCGAACAAAGTCACGGAAGGGTACGTTGCCTACGGGATCCCAGAAGGGACCCAGACTGCGTGTTTCATCCAGTCCTCCTCCTCGCGCGCATGCCACGGCAAGTCCCAAGCGCGCCCATCTAGTTCCAAATACTGCGACCCTAACGTAGTGCATGGTCACGTTGTAACTGTAACGCTATGTTGTTTATAATTGAATGATGTCGCGCCCGTAGGGTTGCGACTGGGTGTCTGGTCTGACGTGGCCGCAAACTTGCGCATAAGTATCGGCGTTTGGGTTGTGCGTGGCGTGTGGCCACGCGGTGGGGAGATGGAGATTTACGACTGTCAGTTACGAACTGTTTCGAGAGCATTGGGTAAGTAATGGCTGAGAGCCGGCGCAGTCGGGTATTCCACTGTGCCGTGGTACGTTTTTATATGCATACCACCTGATGCAAGGGCCAGACACATGAAGATGTTGCCAGCTCCGCTACCAAGTGGTAGGGAAGTGTACAGGGCTCGACCACGAGGTCATAAGCTGAGAACCCTGCTCTTAGGATAACGTCGGCGACGTATCGATGCACCCCACAACTCATCCCTTGATAGCAAGCAAGACGAGGAGGTAAGAGAGAAACCATGGGATTGGGAAGTGGATCATAGAAGGACGCGGCCTTTGTCCGTTGCTATGTTCGCGAATAGAGGTACACATGTCTGTGCACCTAGCATATAGGACAGCGCTGCCCTGAGCCAGGACAGCGTCGGATATAGCGTTCGCTTTGCCGCTTCTCCTTAAAACTCGCTGAAACTCTCCCATTAGGCTGTGCGCGAGAGCGAAAGTCAGCGAGTTCCAGCCCCTGCTGCAGCTGCCGTCCGTAATCCAGGCTCTCGGACCTTTGGGCCAGGCAACGCAACTAGCAGGTGGCCGGGCCGCGCGGACACCTTTGCGCCGAAATTGACGACGACGGGCGGCACGCGCGGTGCAAGTGCGCGCGTCAGGCCTGGCAGTCCACGCGGAAGGGCTGTAGCATGTTACGAAGGAGCCATTCTCCCCGAACGGCGTTAAGCCAAGCATGCGCCTCGCGCATCCACGCGCGGTGCGGTACATTGTCGGCCGGATCCCGCGCGGGACATCGGATGCTCACGCATCATGTTGCCCATGAGCACGCGCCTTTGACGGTAGCAGCGAATCCGGGCTCAGGTAATGGATGCGGCTCAGGAAACTAGATGAAGTGGTAGTGCGCCGAGATGTAGAGACGGTGCCGGCCACGATGCCACGAGCGGCAAGAGACGAGGGCAGGTTTTCAAGTCGGTGATGCTGAAGCTCGGAGATGTACGGGTCGGCAACGTCGGTGGAAGAGGTAATGGTGGAAGTGGTAGCGACTGAGGTACTCAACATGCTAGCGGTCGTGTGTCCACGCGTACTTGACGAAGGAGAGGTCGAAGAAGTCATCTTCGTAATAGCGGTCGAGGTTCCTCGCGCGCCCGACACTGGAGTGGTAGACGAGGTCGTCGTCGCGGCGGTCGAGGTTCCGCGCGCGCTTGAAGACAAGCTCGTCCAAGTAGATGTTGGAGCGAGGAAAGCCTTCAGTGACGCGGTCGAGTCACCTCGCGCACGTGTAGCCCGGGTCGGAGATAACGCAGTGGTGGCGTAGTCGCTCTTGTATTTCACCACGCCGACGGCGATGAAGAGCAGAGCGGCCGCGGCTGCGACAGCGCCGCCGAATTTTCGGACAGGCAGCGCCTACCGCGAGTGCAGATAGGGCGGCGCTGCCTTGGACCAGAATGGCGGCGGCCGAGCAAAGCATAAAAGCTCCACCCTCGGGGCGTTCCCACAAAGTTGACGGCCCGGGAAGGCGCCCAGGAGGCCCCAAGAGGCCCCCAAGAGGCGCCCAAGATTCCCCAAAGAGGCTCCCAAGAGATCAAGGGTGCCCCAAGAGGACCCCAAGAGGTGCCCAGGAGGCCCCAAGAGGGCCCCAAGAGGCCCCCAAAATGCCCCCAAGATGCTCCCAAGAGATCCCCAAGAGGCTCCAAGGGGCCCCCCAGAGGCACACTGGACGCCTCAAGAAGCCCACGGGACTGGCAAGAGAACCCCAAGACGGCCCCAGAAAACTTCAATACGCTCTCGAGAGACATCCGAAGACTTTCTGCTCGCCCTCCTCATCCTCCTCCGCATCATCCTCCTCCTCCTCACCACCACCAGCACCACCACCATCATCATCATCATCACCACCATCATCATCATCACCATCATCATCATCATCATCATCATCATCATCATCACCATCATCATCATCAGCATCATCGTCAACATCATCATCATCATCGTCATCATCATCATCATCATCATCATCATCATCATCACGATCATCAGCATCATCACCATCACCACCATCATCATCATCGCCATCGCAATCGCCATCGTCATCGGCATCGTCATCGTCATCATCATCACCGACATCATCATCATCAGCAGCATCACCATCATCATCATCATCATCAGCATCATCATCATCATCATCATCAACAGCATCATCAGCACCATCAGCATCATCATGATCATAATCATCGTCATAATATTCAGCATCAGCATAACATCCTCAAAATCATCACAATCTTAAGTATACACAGAACCATCATCGTCACCATCATCATCATCATCAGCATCATCATCCTTGTCATACTCGTCACCAACACGTTCATCACCATCACCATCACCATCACCATCACCATCACCATCACCATCATCATCATCATCATCATCATCACCAATACAATCACCATCACCATCACCATCACCATCATCATCATCATCATCAACATCATCAGCTGCATCATCCGCCTGTTCCTCCTCCTTCCTCCTCCCTATTCCCTCCAACTCTCTCTCCTCCTCCTGCTCCTCCTCCGGTTCCTCCTCCATCCTCCCCCGCTTCGGGCACTACGTCTTACCCAACCATTTATTCAACTGCGTGTTCCTCCTCCACATCCCTGATCAGGGCAACTCGTCTGGGCATCGTTTCTGGATGGGCTGGTGGGATTGCGCGAAGCGTCTAGAATAGAAACAACATGTATCTAACATGTGAATGTTCACAGTTCCGCGAGGAGTTCTTGGGCCGACGCTGGGCCAGGGGCGTCGTCAAAGGCGCCGCCAATGAGAGGTCCACAACCGGCCCGAGCAAGCCTTTGATGCCGTTTGCGTCCCTGCAGAGCATGGAGCTCCAAAAGCTCTTGAGGTTCACTGTCTCGAGGGGCCCAGGAGGGCGTCAGAAAGGAGACAGGGTCATTGTTTCTGCCAGTCCCGCTGGGCCATCCGCACCTCAGCGCCACCAGCCTATTTCTCCAGGCGGATCTTCTATGCCACGAGACCCGAGGGAGACAGCCACCTGGGAGTTAACATCGGGGCCAAGGCTTTCCCAGTGGGGATGGGGGGCCGCGCGTGGGCGGGATGATTGTGAATCGAATCGAACATAGAAGGATCGAATCGGAACGAGCGTCGGACCAGGCTGCATCGGCACAGGGTCGAAATCAAATCCAGTCGGACGCGCCCAATTCCACAACAACGCCGTGCAGGTATCGGGCCGCACCGGACCGCCAGGAAATCGAAATCGAATCGGATCGAGCCAGGTGAACCAAGAATCGAATTTCGGAGCAAGACCAGTTGACATAACAGCGGCTCTCCCACCTGGTCCAAATCCTCAAAATTATCCTCGCGAAGGGCCCAACCATATGCAGTTGTGAGTATCGCCGTTGTGGGCATCGCCGTCGGTAGATCTCTTTATGGGGCACCGAAGCGTGTAAAGGGTGTGCTGAAATTGAGCGGAGACGCATGCGGGCGCAGCCGCTGGGGCGTTCGGTCGCGCTCAAGGGGCCACCAAACGCTATACTGGGTGGGAGAAATGCATGCGGACACCGCCACTGGGGCCTTCGGTGGAGCTCCCTATGGACGTTGTACTGGGTAGGGGAAAGGCATGCGGACACCGCCACTGGGGGTTTCGGTGGGGCTCCCTGTGGGGCCACGAAACGCTATACTGGGTGGGTGAAACGCATGCGGACACAGGCACCGCGGCCTTCGGTGGAAATCTATGGGGCCACGACGCGCTGTACTGGGTGGGGGGAACGCATGCGGACACTGCCACTCAGTTTTTCGGTGGGGCTCCCGATGAGGCAATGAAACGCTGTACTGGGTGGGGAATCGCATGGGGACACCGCCACTGGAGCTTCGGTGGAGCCCCCGATGGGGCCACGAAGCGCTGGGTGGGGGACACGCACGCGAACACCGCCACTGGAACCTTCCGTGGAGAGGAGGGGGGGGGGGGCAGGCGAACGCAGCCTCTGGCGCCTTCGGTGGAGAGCCTCTGGCGCCTTCGGTGGAGCTCCCTATTGGGCCACGACGCGTGTGAGGGGTGCGCCAAAGTGGAGGGGGGCGGCATGCGAACGCAGCCACCATATGGGGCCACGACACGTCTGAGGGGTGCGCCAAAGTGATCGGGGGTGGCGGGAGGAGGGAGGAGGGGGAGGATTGGAGGAGGAGGAGGAGGAAAAGGAGGAGGTTGAGGACCCAAGTTGAGGAGGAGGAGAAGGACGCGGGGACTGTCTCTTCAAAACGAGGACCAAGCTCAACACAGGATGGTTGGGAAAAACTATCTCTGGACCCCTCCTCCCGGGGCCCACCCTGACCCATGTCTCGAGACGAATTCAGCCGTGGCAGCGAGCAGCCTCCTGGAGGCCCAAGGAGGACGAAAGAAGCCACGATGGGCCGCCATTGTCTCGTCATCCGAGCATCGAATCGGACCGATCGGATTGAGATGGGCCCCGTTTCCCCGGTGGGGGTGGGGAGCGGCCGCGAGGGCGGCGCAGTCGAACCGGCAAGCCGCCGAGGCGTGTCCTCGTGCGGCTCCGCGGCGTCCCGATTGCCCCGGCAGTCGTCCAGTCTCAGAAGCGACTCGGGCACCCAAATGCCTGCGGCGCGACGGGCAGAAGACGTTCACCACGACGACGACGACGAAAAGGGCGGCTATGCTCGCGTCTCACGCTGCGCGAATGGCAGATCACTTCGCGCTCTCGCGCCGCCCCGCCCGCGTGGAGAATACCGCATGACGAGGAGGAGGAGAAGGGGATCGCGATCCGCAAGCGGCGAATACATTCGAGCCCTCGTGGCGACCCTTGCCAAGACGGCGGCGGCGGCGATGAGTGCGCGCGCGAGTGCGCGCGCGTGGGGGTGGGGAACGGCGGCGGGCGGGCCCGAGGCGTTCCCGCGGTTCGTCCCCCGGTTCATGAAGTTCCCTATTGCCAGGCTCGTGGTGATGCAGCTACTGCGCGGCGCGAGCGCGCGCAGTGGGGGCAGCGAGGGGGCAAGGAGGAAAAGGATCTATCAACATCGAATCGGGAAACCGAAGCGGAACGGAACGTGTATAGAATCGAGCTGCATCGACGTGGAATCAGGATCGGATCGAATCGGTCACGCCGGCCGTGAGGACGGATGATAGAGGAGGGAGGAGGAGCCGGATGAGGGAGAGCCCAAAGCCACTCCTCTTCGACCTCGTCCCTCATTATTCTCGACCCCCTCCCTCCTTCTCCTCCCCCTTCCGTATCCTCCCCCCTCCCCCTCCTGTCCGCCTTCCTCATCAACCCTCCACGTTCTTCGTCCCCCCACTACCTTCCTCATCCTCATCCCCTCCACCTCACTCCTCCCCCTACCTCCTCCCAACTCCACCTTCTTCGACACCCATCCGTCCCCCCCCTCCTCCTCCCCTGTTCCACCCCACATCCCCTCCATCATTACTCATCTCACCACCGTTCCCATCACCCCCTTCCTCATTCATCCTTCCTTCTCCTCCTCCTCCTCCACTTTCTCCTCCTCCTCCTCAATCCACTCCACCCCCTTTGCCTTCAGAAAACATCCGAAAACCTCCAAAAGCATCCAGAGACCTTCGAACGCATCAGAACATCTGTAGAACTAACTCAGCGAGGAGCCACGCCCGGTCCTCACGGACTGTGCTCCGCTGGAGGGAGGAACGATCCGTGCGAGGAGTATGCCGAAATATGCGGGGGGGGGGGCCGGGGCGGGCGGGCGCATGCGAGCAAGCCCCAAAGGGGCGTACGGCAGAATTGCGTCCTGTCAACTCCATGGTTAATGTCTGACACCGCGCGGATCACTCAAATTGGACTGATCGGCGGCACTTCCATCGACGGATCGTTCGGGGATCTTCTGACCCGGGTCACTCCAGACCCAGGTCAATCAGGCCTTGCAAAATCCTGCAACATCCTACACCCAAACCCGGGCCAATGCGAAAGATCCTGCAAAATCCTGCAGGATCCTGCGCCCAAACACGGGTCAGTGCGCCCCTGGCCCTGCAGGATCCTGCAAAATCGGGCGCTCTGGCTGACCCCCTGTGTGCATTGACCCCCGTCTCAAGGCTCCCGAATCGTTCCATATTGACCGATTCCGGGCCACTGGTGGCGTTCAACCTTGACAACCCGCGCTGGGGTTTCCGCCGCGCTGAGGTCACCGCCGCGCCGCTGGGGTCGCCGCCGCGCCGAAGCGAAGGTGGAACTCCAGATTGACTACCTACCAGACCACCCCAACCCAACCCGAAGACCCGAATTTCGATCGGAGGGGGTACGGGCTTCATATGTGTTGTTTCAATGTTCCCCGACCCCCCCTCCCCACTGGAAATGGATGGCAAATCGGGGCCTTCGGATTGGGTTAGAGTGGCTTGGTGGGCGGTGACATACGGTGCCAGTGCAGTTAAGCTGGTACAGTGAGGAACGCCAAACAAGGAACGGAGCCCCTGCTTGACCCCAAAGGCGCCTGGGTGCACGAGGACACGCCCTCGCGAACCTGGGCTGCTGCTCATTATTTCAGCGTCTCGACTGTAATCCGGGCACGAGTGAGGGGCGAGCAATTTCGGATAGCAGCGGCTGCAACAGCAACAGCAACGACAGTCCAGCAGCAAACAGCAGGCAGGGAGCAGCTGGAACGGTGAACGAAGAAGTCCTGGCCGGAAAAGGCCCGCGGGGGGCCAGGTCATCACTCTTCTACACAGTCCGAGCAGGGCCCGGCCCAGATCACAGTGCGCTCGCCCAAACGGCGAAATCTGGAGCTGACTCTCGCAACGCTTCTCGATCTTGCGCTCCCTGCCTCCCTTTCTGCACATCCCTCTTGCGTGCAACACCGTCGCCGCATGTGCTAGACAGCTTCACCCATGGTCTCCTCGACGGCCTCCCTGGCCTCACTTGCACCAGGAGACGCTGGACGGGGAGGGAAGCTTCGTGGATTGTACGAGCGGTCACCCCGCTCTCCTTCCAGGGGGGGTAAGAATATTAGCAAAGCCCGCCCAGTGCAGTGCAGGGCAGTGTAGTGACTTGCGTCGCCAATGTGATGTTATTCGTGCGCTGTTTTCCGTAGCCGTCTGGGCTCAAACCTTGCTGTGATCATTGCGTCGGCGTGCCACGGAGCCGTGGCCAGCAGTCCGTGCTCAAATAGTTCTAGCTCCGACGGAGAGTGATTCGTCTGTTTTCTTCACTCTAGCAATCAACGGCGCGTCGCAACTTGGAAAAACACGTCTCACTTGTCAGCAAGTGGGGGACCAGGGGCTGGAACCGCAGTTGTCAATTGTGCTGACGGTCTGGCAAGTGTACTTTCTCATCAGGACGAGGAAACACGGAAGCCCGCGGGCACGCGGCGCGTTGTTGATTGACAGCGAAGACCCGACTCCACAGGATAAGTGGGGGGCACTAAACATTCAGAAGCCATTTGAATTCTGCCCGATGCATCCGAAAACCTGTGATCACACGAGAAAGCCCGAGGAACACCTGCGACCACATCCGAGCACAAGGCGCAGGCATGATGAAGACACATCGGGAATCTGGATGAAGACACATCTGGATTACTCTGGATGAAGACACAATGGGGATTACTCTGGATGAAGACACATCGGGAATCTCTGAGCTGGCGGGTCTGGATGATGCATCTGATCGTCGGGGGCGTACAAGAGGGTGGTGTCCAAGAGGGGGGGGCGCAAATCATGACCCGAGGCAAGTGCGCGACCAATGGGGGATCAGAAGAAGAGCGGGCCATGACGTCTGGGGAGATTTCATGGCCCTGGCCATGATGCACACACACACACACCTGGTCATCAACCTTCCCTCTCGGACACCCCCGATATCGGTCCGTAGCCATTTTGGCTCAAGTCCGTAGCCCTTTCGGGTCAGGACCTGGCCTCACTGGCAAGGGGGGAGCAGCGGCCCCCACAGTGCTCCTCCTCGTCTGCCAGGCCAGACGAGGGATTTTGGCTTCTCCTGCTCTCGAGCTGCTGTGGCATGGTCCCCGCGCCCCCGCAGCCCCGCTCCCAGAGCAGACACCAGACCCGCTCCCAGAGCGGCTACAAGACGTGCTATGGCAAGAGCTCATGTGGCTATCAGTATAATCTGGTGGATTGGGCTCGCTGCTATCGTTGCAAGAAGTGGCTCCGCGACGACCCGGTTCGGGACACGGTCAAGGGGCCCCCCCGTCCTTGGTCAGGCGAGCAGCAGTCCAAGGATGCATGGCAACAGGTGGAGTCCACGCGCCGCAAGGCCAAGTCGAGCCCAGGCACGAGTGCTGACCAGTCCCAGTCTGGGAGTGGGAAGGGCGGCTCGGCCCAGCAGCGCAGTGGCAAAGGATCGGACACAGGTGGCAAGCAGACGCAGCGCGACTACCTCGCGGCTGCAGTGGAGCAGCTCACGCTTGCTGGGCTGGCAGACGACCACCCGCTCATGGTGGCCGCCAAGGCTCAGGTGCCCTCCGCTGCTGCTGCTCAGCCTGACGAACGTGGCCCACCGCCATGGATGCGAGTTCGGTCCCATCAGGACAAGCTGGCCCACTTCCAGGGCCAGCTTACTGCGTCGAAGGCGACGGAGGCCAACCTCCGTCAACAGATCACGGAGCTGGAGCAGGACCTGGAGGACTGCGTTGCATCCCAGGCGGCTCTGGCGGAATCGGTCAAGAAGGAAGAGGAGGAGCTCCAGAGGCTCCATCGACGTGCTGCTCTTCACCCTGCTGGTGATGACTGCAAGGCGGCTGTCAACGGGCTGGTGGAGACGCTGTTCGGCCATCTGCCCGAGTCGTTCAGAGTGGCGAAGGCGGACCAGCTCCGCACCGCGGTGGACCTCCTGGGCGACCTGGCTGCTGCTGGGGCCTCTTTCCAGGAGCAGGAGGAAGCACGGCGGAAGGCACAGGCCGAGGAGGCCGCGCAGCGTGCCATGTCGGGCAGCGGCCCTTCGCCAGCCCCAGCGACACCCTCGGACTCACGTGTGGCGGAGGATTGCAAGCAGCAACTTACTGAGTTGCTGGAGGGCGGACAGGCAGGGCAGTACGAAGGTCTCTACAGGACCATGCTCGATTTCCTGCAGAACCCTTCAGCCCTCAGCAAGAGGCCCAGGAGGGACGCGCCAGGCCCAGAGGCTGCGGCGGCGGCGGCCCCCTCGGCCGCGCCTGGCCCTGCGGCTGCTGATGTTCCTGCTGATGTTCCTATGCCTGCTGACCGCGATGTCGCTGGTGCCCCACCCCCGTCGGGGTAGCGGGGTCGGCGCTGCAGCTGCTGGACGCCGCCTGCCTGCGCCCGCCTCACACCGAGGCAGGTGGCGCTCCCTGGCGGCGCGGGCTGGGGCTACTGGCCATCGACGAGTTCGAGGCGAGAGTGTGCAGGAGGAGACTCCTGCGGTGCAGGAGGAGACTCCTGCGGCCCGTCGGCCTGAGGTATGGAAGCTGTGTACGGCCAACATCACCTCGCGGGGCATCGAGTGCGGGGACAGGGGTAAGGTCACGAGAAGGCCCTTCCTGGAGCTCTGCGACTCTGTGGATGCCGACATCTACGTTTTCCAAGAGCACCACCAGACGGAGCTACGTTTGGTGGACGTTCAGCAGGCGCTGGTCAAGGCTGGCATGGTCTCACTCCTCACTCCTGCTGCCCCCTCAGGTCGTTCAGAGGCTGGCACCACTGGAGGAGTGGGCATTGCGACTTCGAAGCTCTGGGGCCTCAAAGGACTCGATGATTTGCCTGAGGGTATCGCGGTTCCTCCTGGATGTCGATTTCGTCTGGGGCTCTGGAGTGGGTTATGTACTGGAGGTGTTTTAGTCGGATCGGTCTACCTGCACACTGGAATCGGCTGCCGCGGTCAAAATCTTTCCTTGCTGCACAGTATTGGGGAGGTCCTGAGGGCGTATGGCATGCCGTTTATTCTGGGTGGAGATTTTCAGTTTTCAGCGGAGCAACTGGTCGAGTCTGGTTGGATTGGGGATCTTCAGGCTGAGGTGGTCTCTGACGTCTCG